ACTATGATTTGAAGGGGGCGGGTGGACAAATGTCAAAAGGTTGGGCACATGCAGTTCTGAGGTTGGCACGTGCTTTCCCCGATCCGCACAATGTGTTACGTGTTGTGATGAAGGGGGCAACACCTAACGGTGCTCTACAGTATGTCGCAGTCACCACTATAATGCAAGCATGCAACAAGGGGAAAAATTGGTCACGTGTTGGCAAGGGATGGTTTATTCTGGTGAATACAGAGGTTGTGCTAGCAACGTCACTGACGTGGGGAATCAACCTCAGTTGCCTCATACACGAGGCAATGGCGACAACTTGCGGAGAGACATTGAAACCCGGCTTGTCAACAGGAGACGCCATAGTTGGTGCTCGGCCAGGACATCTCACAACCCTCAACTTGCATATCCCTCAACCACGGTCGGGTTCACTACTGTGTGCCATATAAGTATCCACCGGTGCTATTTGTTGTCGTTCTCGCCCGCACTAGTGAACCACTCTCTCTCTCTCTCTCTCTCTCTCTCTCTCTCTCTCTCTCTCGTATGTCTAGTTGTAGCTATAGTACAACATGTACATCCGTCTACAGGTTCTGTGTCATACTGCCTGTTGTTTGCCTCTCCAAGTACATGCGGTTCACAACAACGTCCAGACATTGGGTGCAACTTTATTTCAATCATTTGATGATTGTTACAATGTATCTCATAATTTGTTGCCTTCTGTAGCACGTGAGACACATCACACCCCCTATGATGACCAATGTGTGTATGTTGTGTTTTTTATTATTATTATTTTTTCGCCTTCTTTGTGATGTCAATTCAAATTTTGCAGGTTGTGAAATGTTTTGGCAATGGATGCGGAGATCGGCTGAGGTGCCGGTGTGCAATAATTTTGATGCAGACGCAGAAAACACATACCACATTCACAAATGTTATGGATGGATAGTTGCAAACTTAACCAGCCGCACAAACGTGGTGATGAATGTCATGTCACATATCGTGTACCTTGTGCAAGTCGTTGCCTTTTCCAACAGGACCATGGAACCTGTCGTGGCGTATACATTATCGTGTCACACGTCTGACTGCTAATCTTTGTCAATCGGGATCAGTGACAAAGACAGTCAGTTCCCAAAACGGTATTCAATACTCCATCGTTCTCTCTCTCACACACAGAAGAGGAAGGGCAACACTTACAGAATATAACAAAATATGTTGTGCAACTTATAATTCGAACGATCTCAACCAATGTAAAAAATGTTAATCAAAGCACTGTCCGCACCGTTCTGTTTGTCTTTGGAATGGACTGCATGCACAGAATATGGACAGCGGTCCACGGGTATGCGACTGTGGCATGCCTTTCATGTCCTTACGAACTTTGAATTCACATCGTGCGAGGGCATGCCCGGGTGTGGTGGACAAAAGAGCACAAGGGCAGGAGATGGGTGTTGTTGACGCCTGTGGACCATCAAACATAGGTGCTGTGAATCTCGTGAGCGATGAGAGCGGGGACATCGCAGCCCCTGAGAACGCAGACGGGGAGGGCGGGTCATTCGCAGAGCAGCAACCGCCGCCTGCCGAGTCTTTTGACAACTGTCGCAAGCTTGTGGCACTGATTTTCTCTGCCAGGGGCGGCGTCGGTATGTCGCAGAGTGACATAGATGCTCTCTTGTCACTTCTCAAAGACCCGAGATTCAGCACGACAGACATTGCGTACCGTAATAGTCGAGAGTGTTTGACATGGGCAGGCAGTCTAGCAGAGGCTGCGGGATGGAAGGAGTCGGATCTGCATAGCGACGACTGGCCACGAGATGCGCACGCCATCTTGTGGCACCGCGATTGGCGAACCACATTTCTGTCGATTTTTAATATCGCATTACAGAAATGCGAGACGGTGTTTTGTCTAGAGGTATCCCCGCCGTCAGAGGACCTCAGTATATCTGGCCCGCGCAGCGGGGCGCTAAGTTATCACATCCAGTCGATCATTCGAGCAGGCAAAGGTGTGGACGGGAATGGAAATCCACGTTATGTTATCCCTCTGTCGCTCTATTCTGACAAGACACACACACACGGTCGTCAAAAACAGACGGCGTACCCTCTGATGATGTCCCTAGCCGACCACGCATCCGAAGCCACATTGCTGGCCTATCTTACTGTGCTTCATCATCGTCCACGTGACAAAGGATGGGGTCAACAGTCCACCGCATTCAGAAAGCAAAAGGCCGTCATTTTGCACAAGACCCTTACAATGGTGTTACAGTCTGCGAAGGAGGCATCTCATGACGGAATAATGATACCGACAACGCGATTAGGGGACATAACTGTCCACCCTTTCCTCCTCAACTATATACAGGACTACCCAGAACGATGTGCGCTTGCGACTGTGAAGTTTGGCATATGCCCGACATGCACCGTGTCCAAAACTGACTTTGATATCTTAGCCGATTTCACGGACTGCAGGAGATCACAAACGCTCGAAACACACCTAACATCAGTTGTGTTCACATCCGACGACATCGACGTGCGACGTGCAGCGGAAGGACGAATGTCAAAGTTGAACATGCATAGGCATGTTCAAAAGAACAGCCTTTGGGGGTTCTACAGGGGCCCCAATGGTGACGACGCTCAACTAGACTACCACCTGGCATTGCAGCCAGACCGTATGCACACAATCGAGCATGGCATATTCCTGCACATGATTGACGCATTCAGGACGGTAGCGTTTGACAAGTTGYCGMACATRCCGCAAACARARATCCTYAAGGAACTAGATRYCAGGTTGCAGAGCGTTAGTGAGAGATGCACGCGAACATACCCCCAACTTGTGCTGCCGGTGGCCACTGGCARCGATTTTTTTTCGAGGGAGKGTCGGTTCGAGGCGAAGCAAAACCGGTCTRTGATGACAGTGTGCGTGTTCCTTATTTGTAATRTTRTCYCRCGCTCRACAGGYAAGGGCATCACCCTTTGTTTTGTGAAACTGATGGAAATGTATGTACGAGTGTTTCGGTGCACAACACACACTCGTGCTTCGCTCGATGAATGCGACGCTTTGATCATGGACGTCATTACGACCATCAAAGCGAAATTGGGGAGATATCAACCATCAGAATGGAAACTTCTCAAGTTGCACGATCTGATGCATCTGAGAACGTATATTGAGCGATCCGGTGTTCCTGACACCTTCGCAACAGACGTTTGGGAGCATCACCATAGAAAATTCTGCAAAAAGCCATACCTGTCATCAAACAAGCGGAAAACTTCAACGTAGATGGTGAACCACGTACGCCGGTCGTTGGCGTTGCAAGAAGAGACCGGGATCGTGAGGAAACGGAGGACGAGAATGGTTGAGAACCGATCCTTTGTGACAGACTGCATGGCCACGGGAATGAATACCCTCGCACTACGCGATACGGCAATCCTGCAACTGCGGTGGTTCGACATCAATGACGAGTACATACGGGAGGGAGAAGGCATTGACAACCGTGCGTGTAAGATACTCGAAGAGCTTCCTTTCAGACGTGATTTTCGAGCAGCGCTTACGACCTACATGGTGGAGAATGGTTGTCAACCTCCTTCTGATGACCTGCTTATACACACACGAACACACCTGGCCATCGCCTGCGTACAGGACGGAACAAACAGGGGCACACTTGTTCAAACTGCAAGAGCGTCGCCACAGTTCCATGGGAGACCAGTGCACAGTGACGTCGCAATTAGAGCAGAGAACGAATGCACATGGTTTGCATCAGTAGGCATATTTTTTGTCGTGGCCACACCGACGAACAGTGAAATTATGGAACATAGTTGCGGATTTGTGCAATGGTACAAGGAGGTCGACAGTGAATGGCAACACGTGACAAGATGCAAGAAATTGAAATGGGAGAAGTTGAATGGGCATCAACACAGCAGCGTCGTATCAACCGACACTATTGTAGACATCGTTCACATTGTTCCACGCTTCTGTAAACCACAATGGGGATCGAAGCAACATGCAATACAGCGTGAGGACTGTTTTTTTTGAACAAGTACATATTGTAGAAAAAACAATTGCAAAGTTTTTATCTTTGCTAAGAGAGATAGATAGATAGATAGATAGATAGAGAGAGAGAGATAGATCGTAACGGCCTTCATCAGAAGTCTGACGAATTCTGTAAGTCTGTCTAGCTGGAATCATCACGGGACAGCCATGTTGTTTCATAAAAAATTCAGGGAAACAAGAGAGGACATTTTCTCTTTCTTTCTGTCATTTTTAGAGAAATATCATGTCAGACGTGGCCGAGTTTATGAAGCGGTGAAAACCACATGCGAAACAACCGTGTCCCCAAAAGTTCACTACTGCGTGACATTTACGTGGTCAACAATGACATTCCTTTCACTTTTGGCATGCAGTAGCCAACCTCTCTCTCTCTCTCTCTCTCTCTCTCTCTCTCTCTCTCTCTCTCTCTCTCTCCAACCTATCCTGTAAAAACGATTCGATTTCTTGTTAAAATACTTAGCAATTCGCCATTGTCATTCCTTGTTGACCAACACGTGTGAACAAGAAACAGAAACTTACGACGTCGCACAACAAGGGGGACGGGGCAACACAGAATACAGAATAACAGGGTGCAGGTAAGAGAAAGCGAGCAAGGATGGAATGTGGGAGAAGGCAGAGCTACACATCGAAAGCCTTGAATTGTCGTCGAGGCCGTGAGATGACAATGCGAGGAAAGTTCACTACTGTGGGCATTTGTTACATAAAGACCGGTGGCTTGACCAGGTGATTGCCCTGCAGTAGCCAACCTTCTCCCGGTGATGGACGGGGGCATTTCCCAATTAGTTTTTTTTGCTTGAAGTATATATATATTTTTTTCTTTCAGTACGCGAACCCAAACCGCCTGACAAAAGAGATACAATCATTTTGATACCGAAAGAGGTTCATAACTTGCATGACGTCGCAATTTTAGAAATAATATCTTGGTTGCGCCTTTCTCTCTCTCTCTCTCTCTCTCTCTCTCTCTCTCTCTCTCTCTCTCTCTCTCTCTCTCTCTCTCTCTC